TCTGATTACCTATTACCGATAATTATATGTTAACCACGTATATCGAGATCCGGGCCGGCACGTACGACGACCGCTCGAGAAACCTGTTCCCCTACAGCGGTGAACATTGAATCAAATTGCGTGCGCGTGCATGCGTGTACACCGACTGTATTCACGCCTCCTAACCTTTCGCTACCGGTTAGATCTACGCGGTGAATAATTACAGTTTGGTCCATCGATGGATAGTTCGTGGGGCCATTGCGGCACTGATAGAGCTTCCAGATTTCGACGGTTTCTTCGATACATCTATTCGAAGCGTATAAACGTTCCACGATTAATATTTTTTTGTCATTTTTGTGATTCTTCGACGATTCTTTACAAAAGTAAATAACACCAATGTTTCGATTTTTTGATGAAAATTATATTTTATTTATTGAGGAAAGAGTTATTATATAAAATGTAATTTTAATAGAGAATCGAAATAAAAGATTTTAAAGTTTAAAGTTGAATCGGGAAAAAGTGATAAATTAATTACAATGCGAATGTTTAATTCAATTAAATCTTCATGGATATTTTTAAGGAGCAATCAAGAATTGATTCTAACAAAATTCAAATATTTAAATTCGTAGAAGTCTATTTATAGCGATCTCGTAATTTTCGAGAAAATTATAATCTTCAATTTCAATTTCAGCCAGAATAAAAATACCCAGCTTACAAAAGATACGAACTTATGCAAATTTTTCATAATGTATAAATCGTATTTCCAATTTGTCATAAAATATTCGTCACATTCTCGAATTTCTATTTTAAAATAGAATTTCATTCCATCATCTTATTCGATTATCGGGTGTCTGGCGTGCAAATCCGATCAATTAACGAAGAACAAAAAAAGAAAAATGAAGAGATTTTCGATCGATTGTTTAACGAGTTTATCTCGAACGAATCGACGCATCGACGCTTTTTTCCTATTCAGAGACAAATGAGTGAAGGAATAGAGGCGAAGAATCGGAATGGAGGCAACAATGCGATTGTTGTCTATGAGTGACGGGTTTGACCGTCGAGCAATTATGAAAATGGGTGCAAAACAAAGGAGGGATGATGAGGAATTGCAAAGGTGACAAATTGCCAACATTATTGCTGTGGCGTAACACACTTTGCAAAGCTGTGCCTTTGCCCAATCAAATTCAATTAGCTTTGACATTCGTTAAAGACTGTTCGAACAATTCAGCATATCTGAATCGATGAGTGACGGAATATGGGGAGGAATAAGTAATATTAATTCAAATAATTGAGAATAATTAATATTTTCGTTTTTATTTACACAAATCGGTTTTGAATTAATTTTCATTAATGTTTTATGCATCTGAATGAAAATTAAAATTATAATCTTCTAAAATAATATCTTCGCTTCGTATATTAATTATCGAATTGCGTAAAATTTGGTAACTTTTTGTTTAGACTCATCCCAATTTTATGATACCTGAATCCTACACCGTTGTAAAAATTTTTTGTAGATCTCGAGGGCCTTTAGCTAATCGGATAGAGGCACGTAGCCGAGAGTTAATAAACGTAAAAGACCGATTGTCGATTATTCACGGGATATAAATATATCGGTGAAATTTATCGGAGGGATTAATCATCTCGAATCCGTGGGTGCAACTTAATAAATTTCTTTGAAATTATCATTGCGCAACTGATAAATAACAGTTTCGAGTAACGTGCTACGTTGTAAAAAAAAGAAAAGAAAAGGAAAAAAGAAAAAGAAAGAAATTCACGATTTTCACGCTATTGTAACGTGGTAATTGGTATTGATTTGTCGATCGGCTGGACCGAAACGATCCCCCCTTTTATTGCGAATACGGCCTCTGGGCCGGTGCTCGGCGCATTTTATGCCGTAAAAATTTATTACGCCATGAATACTGAATACAAATTATTATTGCTTATTAGCAACGCTTTGCATAATGGAGAACGGTGTAATTTATAAATTGTATTGCACCGGGGGTTTTTTAAATGA